ATTAGAAAGAAAACAAAGGCGTCATTGAAGTCTAAATAAAAAGTTAGATATAGTGAGCGGAAGCGAGAAATTCAGAGCGACGAAACGGAAAGGTACGAGAGAGGAGACGAATATCTAGTCCTCGTCCGAGGCAATTACACCTTAAGGCGGGCGAACGAGGAAATGAGGCGAGACACAATTGGCAAAAAGGTCGCGGCAGCAGGGGGAGCCGCGAAAATTGCCGCAGAACACGCGCGGCAGACTCATTTCATCGCCAAGGCTTTTTTCTTCCGTAACGTATTTAACCGAATGATTGACACGATTTCCGATTGGCTTCCTCTATTTTCGTTGTATACAAAAGATTGTTGTTCGTGTTTACGTTGGCGATCAAGTACAGTTTCACGCAGACAATCACGTCGCAAAATCAAAAATGCAGTAAAGGGTATAATGCTTAACCGTTAAACGACGCGCGGCTGATTTACCGGCAATTTCAGTTAGCGGGTTTCGAGGCACATAACGATCACCCCGCAATACGATTAATTTATTTGTTACATCATTACATTGTCCTACGTACGAAAGCTACATGGCCAGCTTATAGTGCTTATATGTAAAAATGCATATTCACATGCTTTTCCAAGAATATGAACAGTGTGTAATCTTTGAAAAATATCTAATATTTTCAGTTAGCCAATACTTTCAAAAATTCTCATGGCTGACTTTTATTTTCTTATTTTCAAGGATATCGATCATTGTTTTCAATGCAGATATGAAACATCAAACGATTAACAGCTTACTTCGTAAAGCGATACACGTTGCTCAAGCTCAAGTTCAAGTTTTTACAAGTTAGTCTTAAATTTGGAAAATAGCTTGTCTGGAGCTCCGCGATTTCAATTACACACGCCTTTTCACGAATATAATCTCCGAGAATGAGAAACCAACGAATTTACGAGGCATGTGTGTAATTTGAATATAATGCGAAACTTAGGATAACATATAACGGATGTTTTCGAAATCTGAGCTCCCGCTCATCTAGACTAATCAAATTCATCGATATATGAGCATCGATATATGAGCATCGATATATGAGCATCGAGAGAGAATGAAGCTTCGTATGATAATCGAATGACTTTACAAGATGATAATGCACGATTAGCGAGACGTCATCGGCAGAAAAAAATGAGCCGCGAAAAGTTGTGTGCTGCGAACGCACAGAAAAGAAAATGGGCAAGAACGTGTGCGAACCAGATTTCGCGCGGTATCTTTGCATTTTTCCTATCTAAAAATACCCTTTTCCGCGCTCAATCTCCGCTTGCCTAAAATCCCACCTGGCAAAAACCAATGATCGCGTGTGCAAGCAAGCTCCGTTAAAATCCATTCTCTCGTTGTCTTTCAGCTCGAGCAATAATTAACCCAAAAACACTCATCGGCTGCAGCTGCAGTCGCTCGCTCTTCGGAGGCGACAGAAAAGAAAGAGAGTAAAAGGCCGCGTGAGTGACTGGGGGAAACGGAGAGGGGCAGTGAAAGAGAGCGAGTTTTACGAGCGTTGCCACTTAAACGGTGAAAGTAGGATTTTTGACAAAAGGACGATATCTTAGAGGCTGCGGATATTTAGCGGATTATGACGCTCCGCGAGATAATTAGCGCGTGACAAAACGCTCTCGAAGAGAGAAAGACGAGCATCGAGCACCGACGCCCCACTGTCACCGATTTCTGCACTATGTTCACTGAGAGTGAAGCAGAAATCTTTCTTGCGTGTTTTCCAATTTTTTCCCTTCGTCCTATTTTTTTCCAATTTTCTTTTTCATATCGCTCACATGCATGCTTTGCCAGCCATTCAGCGGAATTGCTGTTTCATCGACCTTTTTTAATTTAATGCCTCTTTAATCGCGTACATGATTTTAATCTTCTATTTCGTGAAAATACTTCTCCCAAGGCTCCATTTCTTTTTACCTGCTTGATCAACCGCATTTACTCAATGGTTCCTTTGAAATCCTTTTTTTCATATAAGACTCACCTACAAAATCATTATTGTTCATTTGAATATTGGTAAATGCTGCTCGGAATTCTATCATGGGCTGTCAAAAGAAAAATGTAAATAAGCTTCACACGGAAATAGCGATTTTCATCAATTTATGAGGGAATTAATAGAAAATTCAAAGCAAACCATCAGCTCTTAGCTAATAGCAAGATAAAACAATAGAAAATTTGATAGAAAAACGCAAAAGGCGTCAATAATCGTAATGGCGGGAAAATAGCGGATGGCCGAAGAAGAATAGTCGCCGCGTATAGTGCACATACATACGTAATTGCTGCGATTCAAATGGACTCGGGTGGAAGAAAGTGGGACGAGAAAATGCCAGACTTGCGCCGCTCGACATTCGAGAGACTACACGGATGATTTACTATTGCAAGTCAACCTATTGTTTTGGAGAGCAAGTGAAATTCGTGATATTTTCTTTTCTTCTCTTTTTCATTTTTCGGCACTTTTCTTCTTGTCGCGCGCAGCAGAAGAGTCGCGTGCACGCGCTTAGATTTTTATCGGAATATCCTTCTTGGAAAGTTTCGTATCGTTACACTCTGTTAATGCCTTTAGGAGACGTTTCTCTCTCGTAGGTCTATTTGCTAAGGAAAAGTGTGACTGCACGCGATATTGCGCAAATTATCTTTTGATACGATTTGCAAATACACGAGCAATTAAAAACAAGATAAGGAGCAGGACATATTCCACAAGAAATTTCACTTTGAAAGGATTTCGAATTCACGAAACTCATGGCCTGTTTTGGAAAGCGGAAATTTATGAATATGAAATGCGCTTTGCGAGATTCTTCAGTGAAACTGTTCTTAATAGGAGCCTCATTACAAGTTGTAAAATTCGTCAACGTTTCCAGAGGCGCCTGAGATTTATAGCTCGTTTTATGCGTTTTGCGTGCTCTTTTGATAAAAATAATCTTTAATAAATTCAAAAACAATGCTTTCTGTTGTTCCGTGCATGATCGAGCTTTTATTAAGAGTTTTATTCCTGTATTATTACTCAACTTGTAAATACACATGTCAAACAGTTATCTACGGGAAAGCTCTCGTAACCAATCGAATATATATATATATATAAAGCAAGGCAATTAATGGGTCTAGTGCGCTTGGTGATCAGCGATGGGCAATCTGTGAAAACGAAAACGCAATTAGATTCACTCTTTGCCAATGGAAAACCGGTCGCATGCACGATACATTTAGACAGAGAGAGAGAGAGAGAGAGAGAGAGAGAGAGAGAGAGAGAGAGAGAGAGAAATGGGTAAAAGCGCTGATGGGTAAGTCGCGATAATCAACGAGCGGCTTGTCCGTACGGCTTCGAGAGCGAATTAGAAAAAGGGAAAAGAGGGTTCGGCGTATATATTATACATCCACTCCTTCGGAAAACGAATGTTCCTCCGCATATATGCATCTCGTGTCCTGAAATTGCGCTAGGGGCCTTTCAATTGCTTTGCATATCTTCTCTCGTCGCTCGGTCCGTATAAATAGTCGCGCGAGCTCTGCTTCTCTTTTTCTAGATTTAATTTTATTTTGTTCGCTACACTTTTACCTGATTGCGCGTATTTTACGCTGGCGAAGAAGATGACGCTAAAAAATTATCTGAACAAAATAAAATATTTATTTTGTATTATTCTCGAACCTTGTAAAGGCTCCTACTAAAAGAATGCCTATACTTTATCTAGAGCGCCTTTAAAAAAAAATATATTCCGCTCGTAAAAGTGTCAGCATTTGAACCCAGTAAAGATAAAAATGAAAACCTCCGTTGTGTAGAAAAACTAAAATATCGAGCAACTCCACCTCCGCTACATTACTATCTCCACGTCGATCCTTTTGTCCTAGATTCCCCAACATCCTTGACACGATTTTCCCCGCAGTGCAAATAAACAGCGAGCCAGCGTGGTTTTTATCACAAGCGCGCGCGCGTCAACAACAAAAAAGATACTTCATTTAACGATTCTCTCGCTCGGTCATCACAAAATAAAGGGAAAAAAATTACAAAAGCACATTTCTCCGTGGACGCGCGAGCGAGATGCAAAATGGACCGAAAGTCATAGGAAGTCTAAATCGCGAGGCGGCCACTGCCGCCAAGTTGTATAGTTGCGGGGCGCCTAAGGTGGGGATCTAGATTAAAAGCAAACGGGGCCAACGTCTCCGGCGCCAGAGCCACCTCGGACCTTGAGCTGTCGTGGTCGTTGTTGTTGTTGTTGTTGGTCACAACGAAAGTTCAAATAGGCTTACGACTTTTGTTCATTTTTTGTTATTGTTGATTCGCGCGCGCGAACCACGATCGTCTATGTGAACAGAACGGATACGCGAGTGTGAAACTTTAATTTAGACAAACAGGTACATCTCTCTTCGCGGGAGCCAGTTCATGGTCAGTGTTTCGTCTCGCGTTGTGATTTAAAGTTTTGGGAAACTTATGTGATTTGTGATTTACATTCCGCTCCTTTTTTTTCATTTCTAATCAATTGTTTCGTCATTATTATAATTTTTAATGTTCCATCAACACAATCAATCATTGTAATCTAAGTTTAGACTAAACCATCTTTTTAAATAATTATTTAAATACAATTTAATTTATCAAATATTAAAAGTTAACAATAGATTTAATTTTCATTTTTTCGACGAATTGAAATGTGAATTGTTAGGAATTATGAAAGTGCTTACTTAAATTAAGAATAGTATCAAATCGAAAACTAAATGAGCAATAAATCAATGCGACGCAATACGCTTGATGTTTTCATTGAATTATGGTCATTTGAGAAAAGCGAGTCTAATGAACTCAATGTTTGAAACAAAAAGCAACATGGCACTTTTTTTTTTTATGACATGACAATCCGCGTTTAATTAATATTCAGTTAAAATGATAAACAAAATTGTATTCAAAAAATTATTGAAATAATTTGTTTTAGTAACGAAAGAAATTTCAAAAAAAGATGAAATAGATCTTATTAAAAAGAATTAACGCCTACTATGTCCCTATGATTCCGCAGATCATGCTGCCGAAGATAGCAGCGTGTTTGTTGCTGCTGGCCCTGGTGAGCGCAGCGAGCGGTGTGCATTACCACTACGAGCCACAAAATCGTCGCTCGTTCGATGCACGATTAAGACGAGGCGATGGCTTTGATCCTGACATGCTCAATCGTTTCCTCGAGGAGTACGCAAGTAAGATCAAGCGCACAACGGAGCAACCAGCTACTGCTGCTGCTGTTGCTTATCATGATGACGATTCCACAGCTAATCTTGGAATTGAGAGCCTTGATGAAAGGAATGCAACAGATGCACACTCTTTTAGGGACGAGTCGGTAAGAATTGGTCATTTTCTCTTATTTCCGAGGGTATAAAGACCATTTGACGAGGCTAACAAACCTCTAGGAAAATGTAGATGAAATAAAAATTGTAAATTTATCCCGCAGCAAAGGACATTTGTATCTGTATCATCTAGCTTGCTACGGGACTACGACTTTTTAATATCAGAATGCAAGATGAATCTGGCGGAATACCCGTGAATATAGCATCGATGAAAAGTTCCGATAAAGCGGCTCCTTTACGCTCTTCAAATTTATTACACTTATAAGTCTCGCGATGTATGCGCCCTTACATTCTCTCTTACTTGACTATTTATTTTCCCTACGTGCGATTTCACGATAAAGCCGCCATCCGATACAGGCTCACGAGTACCAAGCCAATAATCTTATCGTTTGTAGATTGACTTTGATTAAGGTTGGCTAATCTTTTTCCTTTTCTTACTCCGTTAGAAAATTCAAACTTCACTTTAACAGTTTTATTACTTCGCGATTTTGCCGTCTGACCTCTTCGTAATACTGTTTCTGCTGTTTTCTTTGTTAGAGATGCAACGAATGAGTAGCTACTAACTTAAAAATCCCAATTACAATAAATTGTTTTGTTGATATCTATACGAACTTTCAGTCACCGGCAAATGAAACTGCGAAAAAGCACAAATTTTACAATGGCAACTCGCACAAAGAGGATCGTAACAATGGTGGTTGGGTGACCCTCGAAGCGATACCATGGTCCAAGAGTAAAATCTCTAAATGGCAGGCGAATCCGACGACACAGCATCCTTGGCCATCCGATGCCAAACCTTGGGACAAGCCAAATTACAATAAACCTTGGGATAACGATTTTCCGTCGAGACCTACGTCTTCCGATCACAATAATAATAATAAACCATGGTAAGGTTTATCCATCAAATTAATAAACACTGGCTTTACGAGATTTGTTAAGGAATTATATTTTCCGATGTTAGGACAAACAAGCCACAATGGAATGATAATACACCAGCGCCAAGTAATAAACCATGGTATTCAGATCGACCAAGACCTGGATACCCAACCGTGACAATAGACAAGTACGAGGATCCGAATCAGGCACAGAAATGGCCACCCGAGCGGCCGTCTTGGGACAAGTATGCTGACTCATCTCGTCCATCGGCTGACATTATTACCGATAATGGGCCGTCGAACTTCCCCAACAACGATTTTCATCGACCAGCTCAAGCTCAAAGGTAAAGTCATGCATCAGTAATACATCATTAACTTGCATGAAGTAATAAAGAAAAACGATAACTTTTAGGCCAAGCTATTCGCACCACACGGAAAGCTACATCAGCGAACACGGAGGTTGGAACGACCGTAATGAATTCCCTGCACCTGGAAATAACAATAAATTGCATCGTCCAAATGACAACTATGACGATAGTTACTATGACAGACCGCATTTTTCTCATTATAAGTACCCAACCAGAAATGATCATCCATCGAATTATCCATCCACGAGTGATGGGCAGTGGGTATTATTATCGACTAATCGTGGGTACTCAAAGTCAAGGCAAAGGTCTATAAAGTTTGATGCCAAGACGAGTACCGATACTAACGCAAAGAAGAAGAAACACGATGAGGATGGGGAGCATGTTCCTGCGGTCACCTCGAAAAGGCAGGTGAGAGGGTCGTTTACTCATTCTTGGATGGACTCTTGAATGCAGATTTTTATACATTTATTATATTTATTAATGCACATGCATTTTCTTCAATATATTTCTTATCTGTGCTGTAGTTTTCACTTGCAATTGTTTTTATTTCTTTCTCTCTGTATATGATGTTACCTATCACTACTTTACATTTTGTCATCGTTCTTTCAAATAAGAAGCTTCGTGTGAATTAGATATGAAATATTTTAAGCGTGTATTTAATAATGTCTAAATCTTTATTTTATTTATAGGTATATCGTACGTGAAAAATTGAATCAGCTCGCGAGTACTGTTATGATTATTAAAGTAGTAAACTATACTTTTTAATCAACTGTAATTGTGTTATTTTAAGAGTCCTTTCAAGGAACTAACACTATTTTAAGGTAACATAATAACGGTCGGGTATATTTTTAATAGTAAGATCGTATTATTTTGTCATATAATAGTCTCCATTAACTTTCACCCGTATAATAACCATTAAAAAACATCTCCTTACTCTATGCATACTGCATGAAATCTAACATTTTGCATGCTCTCATGCTCTAACAAATCTATCGTATTATTATTCCATCATGATAATCATACATCCCAATCAAACAATCACTTTCACAAGAAATTGTATTTGAACACAGGTCCGATTAACAGTGTTGCCATCGATAAACGGCACTAACACGACGACGTCGCACGGTGGACTACTCGAGGTTGAGAAAACCTTCAAGACTGTTGATCAAAGCCAAAAGGAATACGAAGCGGAGAAGATCAACATAAAAACCTCTAATGTTCCAAATCGCGCCACTTTGTTACTCAACAATCGGCGACCAATTCGCGCTCCGGTTATTAGCGCTGGGGCACCTTCGAGCTCCGCTGTGTTGGCTGCCGTCGGTGCTGGTATGTTACCAGCCACCATGGCCATGATGTTGCCGATGATGTTGGGAAGACGCAAGAAGAGATCAATTGAGTTTGAAGATGATGAACCATTGTCGTTTGTTACATTACCGAGGCATATTTTCCTTACGAATGTTAGACGAAGAGAGTGATATGGAAAATTCGATTTATCGATAAAAAGTTTATCAGGTGATATTATAAGCCTGCGTTACTTGTGAATTGAAATACGCGGTAGTACCGAAAGCTTGATATGGTCGTTTTCTTGTAATTTATTGCGTAACGTGTAGGTCTTCGCTATTATATTTTTTGTAATCGTTATAAGATTATGTGGAAACTTTATTGTTTCGGAGATTTTATTTACTATATACGTATCGATTATTACTGAATGAAATACAATTGTAAATGAAAAGTACTGTACTTGAAAAAAAGTGATCGGATCTCGAAGAAAAAGTAGTTGTTGCGTTATAGCATATTCCTTTCAACTATGTAACTGCATATTATTTTTATTTTTATTGCAATATCTTATATCGTATTATGAATTATTAAATATATAAGTTTATAGAATTCTCTAATGATCATATTGTAAAACAATTATATTTGTTATATTCTAAAATGCATCGATGTATACATCTTTCAACGTAATTGCTTGATCATCATTATTTTTTGGACGGCTCATTTGTAAATAGTGCAAAAATAACTTTCAGCAGCGTTTAAAACTTAACTTTTATCTTTTGTAAACATGATAATATCGTTTATTTGCCTATTCTAATTTCTAACCATTTTAAAGTTATCTGTATTTTATTCATCACTTATTTATTTAGTATACTATTTATATTATACTATTTATTGATATTTCAGCGATCGGGCATATTGTGAATCGAATTCTTTTGGAAAAGAATAATAAAACAAATTTTTATATGATATTCTTTTTCATATATTTACAAAATATATAAATAATGTAGTTAGTAATAATTAATAATAATAATAATAGTAATAATAACATACCGCAAAAGGTAATATCAAAAAAATATTCTTCAAAATATTATGCAAATGAAAGGTTACTGGAATATGTGGTATTTAAATTTACATGATTGACTGTTTTTAACACAGTTAAAACATCTTTTTGATACCTCCGTGCGTGGAGATTCAACTTTACGAGTAATCGAGTATGTTTAAAATCTCATCCCACATACGTCGTATTAAAAAATCAAGTTAGTTATAAGTGCAAGAAAGTAATTTCACCCTCCTGCGACATTTTTCACCCTTATTTCGCTCAGGCGCAAATGTCCACACGAGACTTAAATAGCTTTCTTGCGTATCTAAAGAATCATATCGAACTGTAATATACTCATTACGAATATAACTTTTTTTTGAGTATTCAAATATTATTTGAACATTAAGATGTTCAGTAGAACGAACAGTCTTTTATAGTTAATTTTATGACGTTATAATTGACATATTGATACAAACTACTTATTTTACTATACAATAAAACTGCATTCAGAGTTGTATAAAGATTCTACTCAAATTTATAACACTTTTACGCCTCGATATAATACTAAGTTCATCTTAGTGCAACTCTAACTTTTTTAAGTCTTGATTTCAAGATAGTATGAGTTGAATTTATGAAAATAATTTTACCATTTTGTTTAAGATTCTTTTTATCTAAAAACCTTTAAAGTTGAAGTATTACTTGTAATAATACTTTAACGACAAACTTAATGGTTTTAACAAAAAATGTTATATATAATAAAATTTTTAAATTACTATACTTAAATACCATCAACTAATTAATTATTTGCAATGAATAATTAATTAATCAATATGTGGGAACGAATCTGATTAAACAGAGTCTCGTAAGAAGTTATTTTTGATAAGTAGTAATCGAATGCTATTTTCTGACCCAGATTTTTTTAATTCATTTTAATAATAAATTTTGTTCTCAAAAATTTGTTACAAAACTCTATTTAGTCAGAGGATACACGTTATCCGGATGATAAAGTGATTCATCGATTTGTTAATTAATGGTAATTACTCATCTCCGTGAAATTTCTTTTGTATTGTACCGATATATCGAGCAAAACCTTCGCTCGCGTGTTTCAAAATAGTAAGTCCTAGTCTCAATTTAACTTCAGCAATTTTTCTGGCAACGGCAAAGATATCAAAAGGTTTAGCCGGAGGGATCGCCGTCGTCGTAATGATTTCCTCATTTTCAATTGTCGTTGGTTCCTGATCTACAGTTTCTGCTTCCGTAGTTATTTCTGTCGTTGATGTCGTCGTTGTAATTGTTGGTGCTGTTTCTTTTACTTCAGCTTTCTCCGACGCTGCCGCTCCGGTTGTTATTGTTGTTTTCATGCTGTAAAGAATCATTCAATCAGCAATATTTACTTATAAAAAAGATTTTATTTTATTTCGAATTTTCATTCTCACCTTGTACTGCTAGCACTTTTGGTAGTCATTTGTTTCGGAACAGCAGTCGTACTCGTTGTGTCACTCTTGATCAAAATTTTCAAGGGTTGATCCGAGTCCATCGTTTGATGTTTTTTCATTTGATCTTTATAATCGTTTCTTTTTTTCTGTTTATCGGCTTCTAGAGGTAGCGCTTCATCAATAATATTTAAAATTTCATTACTTAGGTCCTGTTCCTCTTCTTTACGCTCTTTTTCAATTTGACTTTTTGATGGTATCACTTGAATGGCTGAACTTCTCTCCTTTCTAGGCGTTAGAAATCCAGACATCTTAATTGATAAAAGATCAGGAATAATTCCCCTTTTCCCACGAATAAAAGATTTCAACACTCGAGGACCATGTTCAATTGCCACAGCACTTGGATTCATTTCAAGATCGTCGTAAGATGCAGCAGATTGCATGTTATCGATTTTCCCAATCAAAGCTTCCGAATGTATGTCTTTCAAATTTTCAGGTACCGGCATTGGTGAGATCGGCATATCGTGATTAGGGAAAGCTTTGTCCACTTGATATTGCGGAGTAGAATCTGTTTTAACCTCTATCGGAAACATGTCAAGCAATTTATCGGTCTCTGAGCTTGAGTATTCTTTCGGTATATTACCGACCACGAACTGCCGATTGTTGCCGACTGCTACCTTACCGATCGAAGGGACAAAATCGGTTGACTGCTGCTGCTGTCGTTGGCGTTCGTAGTAATTTGGAGTGGTTGGAACGTCGGGATATTTAAATTCGGTGTTACGATAATTAACGTCGTATGAAGTTGTCTCAACTGGTCTATAAGCTACACGATTTTGCTGAGTTTTTAAAGTTGGCATTGGGTATCTTGTTGGCTGTTGCTGTGGTTGTTCTAGTGCGGAATATTTGTAGTAGTTTGAATTTTTCTCGCCAACTACACCGATCTTACTATATTTGGAATCGTGATTTTGGTTGCTCGTCATGCCTGAGTAAACTTTCGACAAAACCTCTTCTTCGCTCAAGCCGTAGTTATCACCATATTCATCTAGATTATACTTATAGTTGGGTTCAACTTCATAATTTCGACGTGTGATTCCTCCACCGAATGGATATAGGAAGTAAGAAGCTAAACCTAATCCTAATCCTACCAGCGACATGACACCTACACTAGGCATAACTTCTCTGCTTAAAAAATTATAAATTTGAGTTCCAATTGGTTTTTGAACTTGAGTTTGTTGATTTTGTTTTTTATTTTTTGGCGGAGTTTTTGATTCTGGTTCAATCTTTGACTGAATTTCAGATAATAATAAATCTTCAAGATCAAGAGAATCAGGAGCTGCCGTGTCGTCATCTTCGGTGGGTTTTGTTGCAGTAGCAACAGTCGTTGTAGTACTGGTGGTTGTAGTCTTACGACGGCGGTTCTTGTTTCTCTTTCGTTTGTTCGATGTACGTGGTTTTTTCGTAGTCATGGTAGGTGAAGTGGGTAAGGTAATATCAGCTGATTGAGTTTGTACTTGAACAGTAGAAACTTTAGGATCGAATTCGAATTTTAGGTCAATCTTTGAGTTTTCGAGTATGTCTTTGTCTTCGCTATCAATGTTTTGATCGGAACTACCATCCTCAATTTTTTCAATTATTAATACAGGAGGATTTACACGGATGGGTTGAATCTCAATTTTTGTTGTATCATCAGTAGGTTTCTTCAAATGTACTTTCAAAGCGTTATTTACTTTGGTAGGTGTCGGAATTTTGGTTTCAGAATTTCCTACGTTCGTGAAATTGGATTTAGAAAGAATAGAGTTTACTGATTTCATTGTCACTGTAGGAGTTGTTGGCTTTTGTGTATTAGTCAATACAGAAGCCTTAATTTTTGTAATGAAAGATGGTTTATCGGTGTGCTCTACTATATTTGGTGCAGCAGTTGTTGATGGTTTGATTGTTACTTTTTCAATTTTTGAAGTACTTATTACAGTATCATTTTTATGTGGTCGTCTAGTTGAAAAAGGTTTGATTCTGTTCGGGCTATTCGTTTTCGAAGGTTTAGACGTTTGGTTTTTGTGAGTTGTTGAATTTGACATTAGCGTTGTACTTTTAGGAGGCTTTTTAGTTACTGATGTCGATTTTGTTGTCGTAGATAAAGAAGGAGTTATTCGTTGAGTTTGCGATTTTTTGTCTGCCATAACAGTTTCTTCAACATCATTTTCAACTAAAGCAGCAGATGGAGTCGTACTCACGTTAACCGAATTTGTAGTAGTGGTAGTCATTGTTTTAGTTACTTTCGGGGATGCTGTAGAAACTTCAGTAGTCTTTTCTACGAATTTTGTTGTTGCTTTTGTCTCAGCCTTTCGAATATTATTAGTTTTAATAGTAGTCGATTTAACAGGAACTGACTTTGTACTATTAGAGATTTGTATTTTAGTATTCTGTGAACTGATCTTTTCCTCGGACAGGGTTTTATCAGTAGTCGTCGACGGCGGATACAATTGTATCCAAGTCGAGAGCATACTTGTTGTTGTGGGAAACTTTTGTCGTGTAGCAGCAGTTGCAGTGGCCATTTCTTTCTCTATTTCTTCGTCAGTCATTGCCATAGCTTGGCCAGGATTTGATAATTCCAAATGTCCGAACTTCGAATTGACTGGGATACCAAATTTCATTTTCCCAATATTATCATCTCCCTTCTTGATGTCAGTATTGACATTGCCAATTTGAGTAGAAATATGGACAATTGACATAGGACTATCAACTGACATTATTTGATCTTCGGATATTCTGATCAGATCCTCTCGCTTAGTTGTAGTATTTAGTAATTGTGTGGCTACAGTTCGAAGCGATTGGTCCATACTATGAATATCCTTTACTTCTCGATGTTGATCTTGTCTGCAAATAAAACGTACATTCATAAAAATATGCAATTAAAAATTATTTTTAATATTTTTATAAAAATTGTCCATGTATTGCATTACGATATCTATAATACATTTTAGTCAACTCATAACGACAGATTATTTTAAAAGCATATTTACTTAAAATATGCATTGAAAATATTAATGTGTTTACAGGTTTATCTTATAATTCTTTTCATATTCATTAGTATCCTGATTTTATGTAAGTTCGATGTGATCCAAAAAAAGATTTCTTGATTTCATAATTGTATACGAAAAGAAATTCGAGAAGAGTATTGTAAGTATTATAACGTTCGAAATTATTCGCTCAGATTTGATAAGTTATTGTATATCTACCTTGAAAAACTATTTATATGTATTTCATTTACAGAACTCCTTCAATTGCGTCCAATTGCACAAGCAAATATTCTAAATAATAAAAGTATTCAGCATATTCCTTTAATTATTAAAATCGATTTAATGTCACGAATTAATTGTCAAAAATACATTGTAAACGATTAAACATAATATAATAAATTCTACCCTTTTTTTAATCATAATTTTTCAACTTTCCTATACTTTTCTGGATAAAACTATTTATAGATTAATTCCTATACCATGAATTTTTCTACAAATACATGAAAGATCCGTTTCAATACAAAAGTTAAGTTCTGTAAAACATATTATCGCAAGAAACATCTATACTATCGCCATTCCGTTATACTCACCGTTGATGTCAATTATAATATTTATTTTTTTAATGTTTGTATGAAGTCCAATGTATGAAAAGAAAGGATATAACAAGGATAAGGTCATTCATTTGTAAAGTATTCATTTCTTTTTCAATAATGTTATTATTTGAATATTCTGATGGGATAATAAAGTCCATGAAAATACTTTTCATTTTTTATTCAACATACAAAATCCGAATGTTCATCCAAAAAATAGAAGACTTTGTTAGTATATTTCAGGCATGCAAAAAATAGTTTTTATATGATGTCAGTTAGTAAGGTTAATTACATTATGCATAAAATGTGGATAAGTTAGATGATGAACTTATAATACATAATTCGTTTAATGGTATATTTTAAATATGTTTTTAATGTTAAACAACTAATCATAATTCATTCCTATATTGCACTGGATTTTCCCTTTGCCTACTATTTTTTTATAATGCACTCTTTGTTTTCTAGAAATCTAATAATTTATCACGTGCAATAGTATGATATGCGATAAATAAATTACTCGTTTGGAAACGAATAAATAAGCAATTAAAAATAAATCATTGAATAAATAAACTTGTACAGTTGAATCCATCAATCAATCTAGTTTTAATGAGATAGTAGTTAGATAATAGATGGATTCTTTAAATAAAAATGTTAATCATAAGCATAAAGGTATTAATTTATATTATTATTTCTTCAAACTATCCCAACATTACTTGTTACCGAATGAGGTTGTACTATAATATTTGTACATATCATATAATTTATTGTAAAAAAGTCCGTCGAATGTCGTCAACGTTAAATTTATGTTTCGAATCCTGTTATTTCAGTGTAAACATGGTAATCATGAAAAACCTGTTTCATTTCGAATCAGCAAATAATATGTAGACTAACTCGTGCGGTCGATAAAGATTCATCGCTTCCTTTTTCTCTTCCTTCTTCTACCTTTCCACTCGTTCAAATGTTTGTAATCGTGTATGGAGCTATGCACAATGTCTCGAATCGTGGGATTTACTTTGAATATCCTTATATGAGTGTTGGTATTATCCCAATTTCTGGCAACGTCAAAAGATTCTGGAAACGCCCAAGGAAATATGAAGGCTGCCACACCTACGATACCTGCAGCAAATGCAACGAACGGTGCCATAGCCATACCAAGAATTCCATAATTTAAAGGATTTAAGCCGCTGAAAGAGTCGAATACTGAAGATATCGAATCAAGTAGGTTTAATGGTGAGATAGCTTCAAGCAAATCAAAGTCATCCTCATCATCTGCGTTGCTACCTACTCCACCTCCACTACTACCTCCCAAATTACCGGCAATATTGGACACTTGACCTGGCCTAGGTATATTAGGTATATTTGGTAGATTTGGTAACGAAATAACTCCTGGTGCATCATTTGATTGAGGTGAACCAAGTTCACCTACTGCAACAGCAGGTTCTAATAGTGTCTGAGTTATATCGGAAGATACTACAGCAGATTCACTAGAACCAGTAGCTACAGGATCATTTTGAGCTCCTGTAGAACCTTGAGTTTCCGTAATATCCATAGTACCTTCAGTTGAATCTGTCAATGAAGACCCAGCAATATTAGTTCCTGCTGAATCATCTGCTGTAGTCGAACCAAAATCATCTACATTGTTTGGAATATCCGATTGAAATCCATTTCCCCCTACGTTAATTTGAGTATTTTGGAATACTTCCAATGTTGATACTTGTGTACCTGGTTCAGAAAATTCTGAAGTCTCAGTATCAGATTGAGGTTGGTTTTCAGGAGCTTTATCATTATTTTCACCATAGCCAATGTTAAAATTATTATTTGTATTGTAATTAGTGTTTGGTTTATAACCAGGGTTGGGATTGTATTCATTGTTAGAGTTATAGTTACTATTATGGTTATAATTAGTATCAGTATTATAATTATTACTGTTAGTATGATAATCGTTTAAAGGTAGATTTATTTGATAGTTATTAGAAAGGTTATCAGATATTTGACCATAAGGCTCCTTCACACCATCAGGCGAATTACCCAATGGTACGTTTTGTACATTAGAACCTGGTTTGAAGACCTGAGTATTCAGAACATGAGATTTGATAACAATATTCAAATCTGTGCATCCTTCCTTACTTTCAATGGTATTGTTTATCTGAGTGATAGAGTTGATCATAATAGTTGGACAGTCTGAATCACTTCCAGTAATCTCAACTGGTTTCATTGGTTTTCCACTGGTCTGATTGCTATCCTTGTCTGACATAAACATTATATGAACGTTTTGAGGTGGACGAGTACTTCCAGTTTTTGTCCGATTTGGAGTAAGCGATGCCATTGATTCAACGACTGTAACGTTTGGTTTTCGCGAACCAGTATTCATGATATGAACAACAGTGTTTTGCCCTATCTGTGTGGAAGGAAGTTGTTGAACATTAATCTTGTTAATATTTGTATTAGAATTAATCTGTACATCTTCAATAGTCGAGGATGTTGCTGCAACTACTGGAATTTTCGACCACTGAATTTCTTGAATTCCTGGGCTCTTTATTATTGATTCATGATTATTAGGTAGCTTAATAACTTCAGTTGATATTTTGTTATTGTCATCATTTCGGTCGTCGAAAAAAGAAGTATATTTTTCATAATTAAAAAGATCCTCGACATTTTGTACAACTTCATTTGGCCAATTTTTCAAATTCAAATCAACTACCGACGTATCCGTCACAGTTACTACTGGTTTATTTGTAAAATTTCTACGATAATAATTATTTGGTTTGAGCCTTTGCGGTATAATTTTAACCAAATTTCTCGATGCCATCTTCCGCTCTACACGAGGTGGTATATTCTTTGCCAGAACTTTCGATTTCACAGGTATAGCAACTGGAATTGGTATAAGTAGTGGTAGTGAAAGAGTGTTAGAATTCCGTTCTTCACGTAGTGACGTTTTCCGACCCCTTTGTGTGGTTATCGATACAGAAATAGGTTTAGGTGTGGATAATTCTGGTGGAGAAATAAACGGAATCATCATTGGATTGCGATTATTACTCGCAGTCGATTGACAATTCTTTTTGCTTCTGACATTCAACCCATTTTTACTACTACTACTACTACTACTACTACTACTACTACTACTACTACTACTACTACGCGAAGTAGCAGAAGATAGTGCGCCGAGAGGGAGATAATTCTTTCTAGAATTATCGCCAAAATTCGAACTAGGTAACATAGAACGCCTCAACCAATTAGACTTATTACTACTACTATCGAACTTAACGCTAGTAATACTGATATCGCGTCGGTGACTGGACGTAGGCGAAGACATCAGCGTCATCATATACCTGCTATCCGGACTTCCGACGTTTGCTTCCTGCCTGCTACTGTTACTACTGTCCAACGGATCTGTAAAACCATAAAAAGAACAACGGTCAGATTTTAACGGAACTTTGACCTATATACACGTTGTAATATAGAATATATATAGTTTATGTTAGGATACATTTTTACGCGACAGGTTGGTCGAAAGTAAAATTTACAAATGAGTGGTGACATTTACAATGGGCGTTTTAAACTACTCGAAATGTGTTTCGATATTTCATTTGAGAAATATAAAAAAATTGTCATAGTAGTTCACACTATTCCAATCGAACGGAAGGCTAGAAGCTTACCGGGATGCCTTGGTCTTCCATCTCCTCTACTCGCCATGGCGAGCAGGATCGTCACTGTCACAAGCCTAAGCCTCATTTTGACACTGAAACAAAAATAATAACAATAAATTTAAAATTTGATTCTTAATGATCAGCAATATAGAAAATTATTTCTGTTGTTACGTGATTCGACATCGTGCCTCCCGATTGTGTCACAAATCATAGAGTTAAACCGACATAATCGTTTTCATGACGAAAAAAAAATGAAAACCTTTGCACGAATCTTCAAAAAAGTACTATAATATATAAATTTATATAAACTTATAATACGTATACCTGTAAACACGACTTTACGTTTGCATGATTACGTGAATCTCGGTCATATACGGAATCTATGGTTGCGTGCATTAAAGACGAGCCATTTCAAGTCTACATAATCGTTACCCAACTATACGTAAAATAAATATAAACCTGTCGCGTATGTCAATTTTGTTAATTTCATAGCTGTTGTAATATATTTTTTTTCTTTTTGACCTATATTTTTTTCTATGCACTAAATATCCTTGCCAAATATCATTAACTGAGAATTAAGCGAGGAAGAAAAACGAATCTTTATGGATTTGGGTATTCGTTCTACTGCCAAATATGGTAGTTTTGCGATGCGTTGAGATTGCGTAAATATTGAAGATATAATTGTATTTCATTTTTAGTTCACAACTGATATTTTTCCAAAGAATTTTTAAAAATACCGTTGCAATTGCAATATCTGATATGATTATAGATTTCTATCATTCGATTACTTCAAATTTTCAAATATTATAAGTGATCCAATAAAGTGTAGATAGTATTTATTTCTTTTACGATAGCAAGAAAAAACTAAATGTCAGAACAAGATCGCATAAACCGAGATATGATTGATCAATGCAAAACATTGAATTAATTACTATGAAAGTTTTTTCATTTCAAGTACACTATATTTTTTATCGTCATTTTATTTTGATTTATTAACATAGAAAAGCGCATTCGAAAGTATTATTCGCAGCAGCATATTTTCTAGGAATCAACTGTAAACCCATAGAACAAAGGACACTTGCATCACGAATTCCAGGCTCGAAAATATCTATAAAACTAAGTGTCGAAACAAACCCGCGCGGCAAATTACTCGTCTGTCGCCTCTATAACGGATCAAGGATATGCCCTCGTTGTCACGCGGGCACGTCAACGACAAGACTAATAACACTATCGATTTTTATATTCTGTCTAGAAAACGTGAGCGGAAGTTAAAAGAATTATGGAAACAAGTGGAATTTAAAAAAAAATCCTTCGTTTCGTACTTGAAGTACCTTTATTTTTGTTTTTAACTTCGGGATGAACGACTGGAATGTTGATTGACTACGGAAATTTCAGCAACAGGAATGCTAATTATCCGATTTATAATCATTCCGTGCTAGACAGAAGGAGAAAGAGAGAGAGAGAGAGAGAGAGAGAGAGAGAAGCAAGCTGCGCGGGCATTGAATATATAATACGCTTAATATGCATAACTGCAACTGCTGCTGCTGTATGCTTCGGCACTTATTGCTTATTGACCGAAACCTAATTTTATTTTGTGTACGCGAATCTGAATAATAATTACTCCTAATTAAAAGGATCGCAAGTCCGCAAATCGCCGTCGAGATATTTACAAATAACGTAGTTCATTGAACTTGCAACTGTTGTAAAAGTGTATTTAATTAACTCCGTCCAAAATTTGAATTCATCAACTGATCACATCACACGCGTCATTTGCGATTGCTCGTACGTAACATAAAAATTCATAGCATCGATCAGACGAGCGTCACTTTTTACCGTTGTACTTTTTTATTCTTATTCTTTTTTTTTACCAGTGTGTGCAGTTTTAACGGTACCATACGCATACGCGCAGATTTTTGCATGCGCGGCGCGCGCACGTTGCTAGGGTGTGCGGAATGTAGACTTCAATGCGTGAAGTATAAGAGAAAAGGGTGTAACAGTTTCTTTATTGTGGCAAAAAATGGCTTTTTATGCCGTTCACGTTTGATGTAGATTTTGTCAATGCCATTTTATATGCTTAGAATAGGAAAATGTATGCCGTAGCGAAATATTACGTTTCATATTTTTTATGAAAGAGTGTGTCGTGTGTGATATTGTCTTGAAAACAAGAACTGTGAATAAATGTGTTTCGTACGTTAAATTTCACTTTTTAAAGGTTTCAAAATGCTAATCTGAATTTTTTTTCCATTTTATACTAGTATATTACGTTAACATTTGATTCACACAATTAATCCTGCAGATAAATGCGAAAACAGAAGCTTAAGTGATTACCCATAGCCAGATTACTTTGTGAAAATAAGAAAGAGAACGAAATAGTGTCTATAAATCTTGCTCGCATCAAGAGACTGAGTAACAACGAAGGCAGTTGCAGTTAATTAAGGCAAAAGGCAACTTCTAACTGCGAGAATTAATTTACCGAAACAAGGAGAACAACACTGACATTTACATTGTTGGTGCGAAAAAATATATTGCATGCTTGAATGTCATTACGAACGCATCATATATATACATATAAAATTCAACCTATACAAATGATTTATTTACGTACGAAATACGTGGGGAATGCAATTTCATTTTTAATGGCAATACGAAATAAATCTGAAAATAATTTACGACTAAAGGAAGTTTTGTGGTCACAGAATAACGGTTTATGGTATTACTCAATATATACGTGATGTATACAGTTATCATCGTTTTAATCATGGCTGCTCACCAACGTAACATATATAAATACATTAGATGCTTAACAGTTAAAGTTGATAATCAAATATTTCAAGTGTAGCACCTGTTTCGACGATTCGTAGTGCCATTAGTATGTATCGTTTATTCAGCGTAGCCAACGCTCACCGCGCGCTTATTCGTTCTTGTGACTATTATAACGGAACATCGAATTCTGAAGAATTAGACGCTGATGGTATTATTATTAATTTATTAACTTAAAACAAATACGAGGCTTTATCTGATAATCTTCTGAAAAGCTTTCCGACCCTTTAATTCTTACTGGAATGTGAATCACGTAACCAAAGAATTGCCTATTCCAAAATGTATAAATATATAAATAAGGATCACGTAGGAGATTGACTTTTATCGCAAATAAATGTGTCCTACGCAGCGTATTGCTGTAGCAATAAGATCGTAGAAAAGAAGGAACAAGTAAAAGAGGCGTTAATTTGGTTTGTGCGAGCTTTCGTCGATCACAATGCAGCTTGAGCAAAAAAAAACGTATCTCGGGCAGAATTTCCATGTTAATTGTATGCCGACTTGGATAGGAATCTTAGCGAGATGATGATTTCAACGCGCGTGTGCGCGCATGTGTGTGTTCCTCTTCCGGAACGTTAACGTTAACGTCGCAGGCGGAACAAATTCACCTCGGCGGCCCGTAACGCGCTTGGAATAAATTATATATAAACTGCAAATGGATATAATTATATTGGTGAAGCGTTAAATGACTTATTGAATGACGCATGTGACCGACAAATTGACTATTGTATGCACAGTAATGTCTGGGACGAGGCGACGAGGTGAATGGGAATTGGTCAAAGTAAAATTGGACAAGAGTGCTCGATTTTTATTGAAATGTGTTTTTTAATAAGACAAGATCTTAGTTTGTTTTTATTTTTCGAAATCCCTCAAACTTCTGATGTAATATTTCGTAATATTTGGATTGCTCGTGGTTCAAAATGATATCAAAATTCCCATGACCACGGGTGATTCAAAACAATATCAAAAATTCCCATAGCCGAAAGTCGCAAATCTCAATCTGAAAGTGTATGCATCTAGAATTTTCATGCAAACGCGTATCTTTATGGCAAAAGGCTCTTGTACATGCTATGCATTAAGCATACGTTGCGCGCGAGGGGGGTTAGCTGATCGGTATCGCGGTCGCGATGTTCGCTCTAGATCGTCATGGCGTTGCGAGCACGCGAGAGAAATCGCTAAAAAATTGAGGCTTGCTTCGCTTCATTGAACGAAAAAATGGCTTACTTCTTAATTTATACGTGTGTACAATGAACGTGATGTAAAAGTGAAATAGCGTTTATGAAATGGTATAATAGACGTTTTCGATATTTGACTTTTGCAAATTATATTACAGATAAAATTTGTTTAGAGAAAATCACAAGTCCGTCATGACAATGTTTGCTCTAAAAAAAAAAAAAAAAACAAGGTGCAACGTTATCGTCAAAACTCACCTATAAAAACAAGAACATTCGCTCGCAAGATCACTATGGGACGAGAAAAAAAAGATCACGCACTCGCGGATTAAAAACACAAGAAAAGACACACTCGCGCGGTTAAGAGAGAGAATCGGATGGTGTGCTCGTACACGAAAGCGCACTACGGTTGACTGAGTCGGCTTTATGGATCTCCTGTCGCGTGGCCTGCGTCGTCGTCGTCGTTGAGGGCCCGTTACTCGGCGGCGCGGACTCCTCTTCTCCCTCTTACACAGGCGCAAGCAACGTGTAGTATACGAAAGTTGAATAACCTTGGCACTAAGAGAAGGAGCGCGAGCGAGCCGCTTCATCCAAGGCATCCCGATTTACCGGCGCCTCCTTCTTTCATCTTCACCTTCTCCTCCTTCTTCATCTTCTTCTTCTTCGTGGTGCACAACAACAATTACTGACCGGTTGCGAGAGAGTATTTGAGAGTAATCGTGCCAGTGACTATTTGACGCTGCACGGAAATACTTTCAGTAGAACTGAAATGGCGACACTTTGAGGGAAACTACGAGTTTTTTCTAGAGAAGAATTTTCGAGAGGATTTAGTCTTTGAATTAGAAGAGTTTATTTTATTTATTTGTTAATTTTTTTGTGAGAAGTGATTGGCTGCAACTATTTAATGATTATTATTCTATTACATTTTAATTTCAGATGCAATTTTGCAAAATTAACGATATGCTACAGAATTTTATTTTATTGTACTCGAAATTAATAAAAAAATTGTTCTAGCTTATTAGACAATTTAAGTACATTTATACTACCAAGCTTGAATAAGTAAAATAAATTTCCATGTACATATTTATCAAGTAATGAAAAAC